CCGGGGCCCGTGACCATGGGCATCGCGGAGTCCACGCCGGACGAGCTGCCGTCGGGCGCGGAGGAGCAGCTGCGCAGCGGCGAGCAGCAGCTGGAGCTGAGCGGGCGGCGGCTGCGGCGGCTGCCCAGCGCCGTGTGCGCGCTGAGCCGCCTGCAGAAGCTGTACGTGAGCGGCACCGGGCTGCGCGAGCTGCCGGAGGAGATCGAGGAGCTGCGCGAGTTGCGCATCCTGGCGCTCGACTTCAACAAGCTCGAGCGGCTGCCCGACGGCCTGTGCCGCCTGCCGCGCCTCACGCGTCTCTACCTGGGCAGCAACCGGCTGCTGGCGCTGCCCGCCGACTTCGCGCAGCTGCAGAGCCTGCGCTGCCTGTGGATCGAGGGCAACTTCCTGCGGCGCTTCCCGCGGCCGCTGCTGCGCCTGGTGGCGCTGCAATCGCTGCAGATGGGCGACAACCGGCTGCGCGCGCTGCCCGCCGAGCTGCCGCGCATGACGGGCCTGCGCGGCCTCTGGCTCTACGGCAACCGCTTCGAGGAGTTCCCGCCCGCGCTGCTGCGCATGGGCCGCCTGCACATCCTCGACCTCGACCGCAACCGCCTGGGCGGCTTCCCCGACCTGCACCCGCTGCGCGCGCTGCGCGTCTTCTCCTACGACCACAACCCCGTCACCGGGCCCCCGCGCGTCGCCGACACCGTCTTCCTCGTGGGCGAGGGCGCGGTCGAACGCATGGCGGAGCGCGACGAGCCCGCGCCCCGGCCGCAGCCTCGGCGCCCAGCGCGGGCCTTCGAGGACGACGAGGAAGAGGACCTGCTGATCGGGGGCGGAGGCGCCGGGGCCCTGGAGCGCGCGGGGGGCAGCCTCCGCCCCCTGGGAGCCGCTCCGGGACTGGGCACTTGAGCCTGTGCTCCAAGGGATGGGCTTGGGCCACCAGGGAGGAGGAGCTTGGGGAAGCTGTGGCTGCCTAGGGCTGCGGGACCGGTGGGCCCTACTTGGGACAGCAGAGGGGGCTCTTTGAGCTGCCCGGCGCAGACAGGCCTGGGGGCCATCTTCAGACGTTCCTGGGGAGTAAGAAGACCGTCTCCTGGCTTACCTCTGTGCATCGCCAGCCCAAGACGTTCTCGCTCCGTCTAGTCCCTGATCGAGCCACTATAGCACCACAGAGGTGCCAGCTCCCTCTTGGAGCCAGGGTCACCGCTGGGCACGGACTCCTTCCTGAGCCTGGGTGTCCAGGCCACCCACCACCCTCCCTGCTCCTGGGGTCTGGCTCTCCTGGGCCCACCCTTTCTGGTGCAGGAGCCACTACCTCTGGGGTGGGCTGCGTGCCTGTGTGAGGCCGAACTTCAGGCAGGGGTTTTGCGTTGGGGCTGGTGCCCAGGACTGGGGGGAGGGAACCTGGGTTGCGGCCCAAACCTCGCAGCTGCCCTGCCCTTCTGCCGGGGCTTATCGCACATACCTCCCTCCCTAGGACCCCTAGTCTTTGGAGGAGGGAGTACACAGAAGGCGAGGCCCCCTCTTTTTCTGTTCTCTTTTCACAGCTTGTGCCTGGAATCTTGCTGGGCAAAGAGCGCTCCCTCCTTCCCCACAGTCTGAGCCTCCCAGCTGTTACATTTGAAAAGAAGCCACAGTGCCTCTAGGGCCTTTCCGCGTGGAGGAGAGAGGCTCTGGGAGGCCTCTCCTGTGCCTCTCCCACTGTGTGCACTTTCCGTTCCCTTAATTGGGCACAGCCAGGGCGGCTGGCACTGCGAGGGGCATGGGTCGGGCACTGTGTGCCTCCACCTCATCACCGGGGATAGCATTGAGGGGGTGAGGGAGTGGGGGCCTCTACCATCCCCAGGATGGGAGCTTTCCCGTCCAAGCAATAATGGGAGGAGGGGGCCAGGGCTGGGGACACTCAGGGACATCGCTGGGGGCAGGGGCCCCACATACTAGTGTTTTCCTTTTGGAAGGAAAAAAAAAAAACTGGCTGTAAACATAAATTATATTTCTTGGAGAAAGAATGCCATTTCCCACATGCCTGTTTATTTATAAGCCCTGGGGGCACTGGCTCCTGCTGGCACTGTCCCCTATCCATGTGCCCTGGCTCTGAGTCAGGCTGACCCTGGTGAACTGTTGAGTTCCTTCCGTCTGGAAGGACAAGTGCTTTCCATCAGAAATGACTAGTTACTCCGGGCTGTTCTGTCTGGCCATGTCTCTCTCCCTGCCTCCCAGCTCCCTTGGTCCTGCAGTCTGTCTTCTCAACTCCACTCTCAAGTTCCCCAGCTCCATCCCTGATGCTTCTGAATCTCCCTCAAGCTGGGCTGACCTTTCTCTGTCCTTGTGCTGGTGCCAGCTCCCTCCTCCCCCTCTGATCCCCTCCCCCTTCTCCTCTCTCCTTCCATGTTCCTTTCTCTGTCTCTTCTTGTTAAGTCTCTTTTTGCTCAGTCTTGGCATTGCTCTCTCCCCTCCTTGCTAAGGGGGAGGGGGGAGAAATGAAAGATTTAAAGAAAGAAAGGAAATGGTATGAGA